AAAAAAAACCTAAATCCCAATCGAGCCACGATAAATGCAAGACCACCGGTCTAACGCCCACCATCTCAGTCACCGGAAACCGCCACCAGACTTCCGAGTAAGCTCTTCAGCAATATTAGTCATCAAGAATCAAGATCTCTTTGAAAGTTTCATTAATTTGAGAAAAGCAAATAATAATAAAATAAATAAAGTGCTCATCTAGAGCTATTTATAAAACTCATCACCTTTTAATAAAATAAAGGCAAAATTGCATATAAAAGCACCACCTTTTATGTTTTTGCAATTTAATCACAACCTTTGTAATTTAGCAATTTAATACACAACTTTACTTATTTCTTGCAATTCGAATCACAGGGCCCAATTTCGAGCCTGTTCTGGTGACGTGGCATTTTGTGGTGACGTGGCGTTTCCACGTGTCAATGACGGGGCATCTTTGGGCTGACGTGGCAGTCTATGTCAATTAAGAAAAAAAATATATATATATTGTAGAAAGGGGGGTTTGAACCCTGGTCTCCATGGGAGAAAAATAACTATGCTACCAACTCACCTATTCATGTTAGTTAACATATTTAATAACAATTTATATATATAGGAATTATGTATGAATAAATTATATTAAAATATAAAATTAATTATAATAAATTATATTAAAATATAAAATTAATTATAATAAATTATATTAAAATATAAAATTAATTATAATAAATTAATTAAATATAAAATTATAATAAATTAAATTAAATTAAATGAAAATAAAATAAATGAAGATAATTAAAATATAGAATTTTATTAATTCATATTTTGTGTTAGAGTAAACCATATTAATAATATTTAATAAATAAGATTTTCATTATTTATTATTTAATAATCAGTTATTTTGTTTATTATTTTATTTTATTTTATTTGAATTCACCTTTTTTATACTTTATCATCTTATGTTATATTATTTTTATTATATTTTAATAAATATAACTTATTATGAAATAATAAATAAAAATAAACAAAAATCTTAAATAAATATAATAAATTAAAAATATAATTTAAGTAAATAAAATGTTAAATAATCGTAATAAATAATAAAACAAAAAGTGTTATTTTATATAAAATAATAAAATATTAAAAAACTTAAATGAAATAATAATTTATTATATAATAATAAGTTATTATATTTATTATAAATTTATTTTAAATAAATAAATAAAAATATTAAATGAATATAATATTATTAATATGATTCACTCTAACACAAAATATGAATTCGAAAAAATATATTTTAATTATCTTAATATATTATTTTTAATTCAATTTTATATAATTTTATTTAATATAATAAAATTATTTTTTTAGATTTAATTTGATTTCTCCATACGTAATGTAATGTGTATATATATAAAGGGTTATCATATTTAACCACTAAGTTGGACTGGTGTGGTGGTAGCTAAGGCTACCTTCAACCCCTTCAACCCAGGATCGAATCTCAGAGCGTGCAACATAATTTTTTTTTTTAATTGACACATGGGTCGCCATGTCAGCCCAAAAA